CGTCTGCGAAGTGGGAGCTGGGGTTGCTGAGAGGGTCCCACCGAGCACGTGGGAGCCAGAGCGGAATGCGGGGTATTCGGGCTCGCCTACAAGCCCACCGAGCCAAACTCTGCTTCAGAGGCCGTGCAGCTCCTAATCACCACCCATCGGCCCCAGCCAGCAGCCAACATACGGCTCAGTGAGGGGGTGGTCACAACCAGCAAAGGATGTGGGTGTTTCCACCAGCGCTTCGTGGTGAAATCTCAAAATGGTCTTTTTAAGGCTTGGATCCTGATTCCATGTTTCTCTCCTGTCTCCTAGCCCCTACATTTTTTTAAAAAAATGTGGTAATGTAGTAGACAGTGTTTACCGAGGTAAAAAGATGTGGATGAAAAAGTAGGCTGCAAAATGAACACAGTACATAGGCCAGTAAATACACACACACACACACACACACACACACACACACACACACACACACGCCCTCATCAACAGTAATACTGACAATCTCTTAGGATGAAAAGACACGATAGTCCCGTAATTTTTTTTTTTTTTTTTTTGAGACAGAGTCTCACTCTTTTGCCCAGGCTAGAGTGCCGTGGCGTCATCTTAGCTCACAGCAACCTCAAACTCCTGGGCTCAAGTGATCCTCCTGCCTCAGCCTCCCAAGTAGCTGGGACTACAGGCATGCGCCACCATGCCCGGCTAGTTTTTTCTATATATTTTTAGTTGTCCAATTAATTTCTTTCTCTTTTTAGTAGAGACGGGGTCTCGCTCTTGCTCAGGCTGGTTTCGAACTCCTGAGCTCAAACAATCCGCCCGCCTTGGCCTCCCAGAGAGCTAGGATTACAGGCGTGAGCCACCGCGCCCGGCCTAGTCCCGTAATTATTAAGTAACACTTAAACACAAGATTTGGTACGTATTAATGTTCCATAAATATGGAATAAATGGCTGAATGGCAAATAACACCTGGAAAGGACTTGGAGTTGCCTCAGAGAACAAGGCTCATTGTCTCCATCTAAGTTAGAAATTCACCATATGTTCAGGGGCATTAAAGTTTAATTTTCACCGATGAAATCCTTCATTTGTTCAACTAAATAGTAGACACATGAAAATGAAACTTATCTCCTTGCAACCATGTGTCTACTATTTCCTTGAACAAATGAAGGATTTAGTCAGTGAAAATTAAACATTTTCCAAGCACCCTCAGGCTATTTGGCAGTGCCTGGGATTTCTATTTACGCAACTAAGAATATCAATTTAAATCTCTTTCTTTATTATACACCTCTGTGCTCTAGGTTCCCACACAATAATGTCACCTAAGATCTTTTCTAGAGAAGAATCCCATTTGTATCATAAGAGATCTATATTTCTCAGGGAGTGCTAGACATTCTGCTTAGAACGATCAAAACCAACATATCTAAACACTGTTAGTTTAAAAAATTTGATCTTTCTCCCATCATCAGTAATGTATTTACTCATTCAACAAGTCTCTTTTGGGTGCCCTTTAGGCCCTAAATATGTAAGATGTGGCCCCTGCCCTCAGGCAGCCTTCCAGGGAGAGAGCCAGGTAGGTTGGCAGATACAGTTCTGCCTGGTGCTCTAGCAGTGGTTTGAGCAAAGAGCAGTGAGAGTGCTGTAGAGTCTGAGGGCATCGTGGAAGGCTTTCAGGGGTAGAGGCATTTGAGCTGCACACTGAGAGGGAAAGAAGTGTCCTATTTCTGTGAATCACTTATCAAGCCAACTTTTCCTGAGAAGTTATATGACAATATGCTATGCACTATGCTCATCCTTGGAGACCCAAAGCCCAATAAGACAGTCCCTGACTGCAGAGGGCTTACAGAGCTGTCAAAGCTGATACTGCCATTCTCCCCGGCACCATGGGGGAACTCCACTCTTGTGGCCACCCTGGTGATTTCTGATCCTCCCCACCCCAGCACATGGTCTTTACTCTTTTCCATCTTTTCCATTCTTATCGTCTCTTGAAGTCAGAATATACCTAGACTCTCAAAGAAGCTCCCTAACCTGGTCCCCTTGCTCACGCCATGAACTGGTATTTTTGCTGTGTTATCACTGCTGCATCTTGGCTGCCATCGTACTCAACCCTTCTCAGAGTATCCTACTGTCCGTGGAGCAGAATCTAGGGCCATGTACAATCTGGCCCTCAAGGGCCATGCAGGTGGCCTCTGCATGAATTAGAAAAAGACACTTCTTTGGGGCTCAGCTAGGCAAGGAGACTTTGCATGAAGAGAAAATAACCTTTTCCTCCAGGTGGCTCGGATTTCAGCTCCCACGTATCCACTTAGCCGGGTATCTACTCTACTCAGTGGCCCTGGGCTTTATCTTACTGCTTTCATTTCTTTCTCTTACTGTTTCCCTACCTTCCTCTCCAGCCAACTGGCCTATTTTCCTGGACAAAGCTGGCATGTTCTCCCTGCACCCATTCCTTATGCCTTCTCTTCCTCATGACCACCTTTCTTTCAAGGCTTCTTCTGAGTCTCGTGTATGCTGAACTCCTGCAGGACTCGTGGTCCGCAGCAGTGTTCATCTGATGCTGATGGTGAATCTCATTTCCCCTACCGATTGTGAGCCTTTAAAAGGCAGGCATCAGATGGCATCTTTACCTTTCCCAAGGTCTTAATGAAGGCTGAAGTAATGATTGATGTTGTCAACAATGGTAATGGTGACTTTAGATTTCTCAAAGACTTGCCATAGGTAGGGCTCTAGAGAACGAATATTGGGTAAGCCTTGTTGATCTGGTTTGAATTCCTGATACTGAGAAGCAATATCACTCAGTTTCTTCCCAAATACAGTAGTCCCTTCACGCATCAAAAATGGGCTTCACCTCTCAAAAGAGGGTTTTACTCTGAGATTTTCAGAAACCCCCAAATCCTGCTTCTGCACATCATCTGCATATCATGCCCTACCAGGAAAAGTTTACTTCCTGTCTGAGAATCGTCACTTCCCTGGCCCCTTGGTTTCCTCTTCACTTCCTTCACCAGTACTAGCAGTTGCAGTCTTTTTTCAGGAGTTTCGACAAAGAAATTTCGAAAGCAACTACTGCCAACCAGCAAATCGAGGCCCTGCAACAGATGCAGGGTGACCTGTCAGGTTTCCTGGCTGGCTGAGCGATTCTGTCCCTGGACTCCCGAACCCCAGCACAGGAATGATTTCGGTGTGTTGGCAGAATACTTCATCAGTTACTACACATCTTGGTAGACTGGAGGGCCTTCTCTTTTCCTGCCCCCCACCCCTCTCAAGCTGCACAGGAAGTTGCTCGGCTGATAGTTTCGGGGCCTCTGTCACACACTGTTCCTTCCTCAACTAAGGGAGGAGAAAGTGCCTCTGTGGAAGGACACCCTCTATGTTTTGCTAGAACGAAGTTCAAACTTGCATTTGGCCCTCAAGCAGCGACCTGCTTGAAGCCTAAGATTTGCTTTTGTCTTATCTCCAATCGTTTTCTGCAAGAAGTTAGACGGGTCATAAATCATACTGAACCTCCAGCCTGGGGCCTGAGGCACCCCGTACTCTCCCAGAGGAGAAAAGCCACTTCTAAGGCAATTTCTTAAGGAGCCTTCACCCAACCCAACAAGCTAGGTGTCCCCTGGGCCATTTCTCTCCTCTCCCCTGAAGCAGTAGCCAGCTCACAGAGAACCCTGTTGCTTTGTGCTTGTATGATCTTTGAGTAGACTTGTGAACACCACCCGCTGAGCTTCGCTGGGTGGATAACTTGCCCCCAGCCCTAATCTGCTCGAGTTTCCCTACACTGCAAACGTTTCTACAGAGAGTCCATCTCAGAGTCCAGTGGCTCTCACACTCTGTAAAGTCTCCCTGAAGGTGAGCCCTGTTCCTTCAAGACAACTGGTCGAGCTGGATGCCTGAATATGGCTGTCCGGGACAAACCTATTGCCACTTTCAAGAAGTCGAGAAGTCGCGGAGCTTCACAGCCAAGCACTGAGTCTAGCTTAGCAGAAACAAGCGCGGCTCAGGCATAGAGCCTGGAGCTGGGAAGAGACAGCAGAATCACTGTGAATCCTGACTGCTGCCTACTAGTCTCCTGAGAACACAGCTTTCCTCTTGACTATGAATGGGAATCACCCTAAGAACCAGATAGCATTTGCACCTTCTCCTTTCTTCTTCTCAAAAGCCCCAGGTCCTACTGAGGTTGACTTAGGGCTAAACATCAGGTCTCAGTTTCAAAGGGGAAATCCAGGGAAGCCTCAGGAAGGGAGGGAAGTGGGGAATACACCCAGCCATCCTCTGCTGAAAGGTGGTTGCCAGGCCCTGTGGAGGTTGGCACGGTACAAGGAAAGTCCCCCGCCTCCTCTCAGCAGGCAGAGCAGTGCTGGGCCTCACTCTGGCACACCCACAGATGTGACCAGGACACCCGGCACACACAGTCTCAGAAGACAGCGGCTTCCAGAGGAGTCTCACGTTTTAGCAGAAATAGGGTCATTGGCGTGACCAGTGAGAGGAGCTTTCCCGAAAGTTATGAAAGATGTGACAGATACAAGAGGGACTTCAGACGCAAGAGGACAACTGGACTCTCTAACAGGCCACTCTGCTAGTGAAAATGGAAGCCCGCAGACCCACAAACAAGTGCTCGCCTCCTGCTGCCAGTTCTCTCTTTCAATACCCAACTCTTCGGATTCGGGGCTTCTGCTTTCTTGCAGTTTTTGCTCACACGTTTACTCATTGACAAACACTGGCTGCAACTAACACTTCTTTCTAAAGCATTTGAGTTCTTAACCAAAATACCTGGCCCCCTAGGGAGGCCCCTCTCTTCTTCCTCTGAGGTCTTTCCCTGCCTGCCCCTGCCTGCCCACCGGGGTCTCCTAGGTAGGAGCAGGGACGATCCTCCGGAGCTGGCAGGGAGGCGTTGGGCGGCAGGCTTTTGCCCTTCTGCTTGGCGGCAGCGATGACCCGCGGGTCCCCTGCTCCGAGCAGGGCAGCTGCCTGGGGAGGGGGCGCCCAGGACCCCGCTCGCCGCCCGGCCCCGCGTCCGCGCCCGGGTCCTTTACCTCCATGTCCTTCAGGTGCCGGCTCCGCGGCTGACGCGCCGGCTCGCTGGGGGCCGGAGCTCAGGATCCCCGCTGTCCCCTCGGCTCCGGGCCGGGGCCAGGTCGGGCTGCAGCGGGCTCGGGGCGAGCGGGCGGCGGCGCGCGCCAGGCTGCGCTCGGCGGCGGGACTGCCCGGCCCGGGGGCCTGCGCGAGAGAACGAGGAAGGAGGAGGAGGAGGAGGAGGAGGGGGAAGGGGAGGGGAGCAGGGGAGGGAGGCTGGCGATCAGGGTTTAAATTTAGACACAAATCTAAACAGATACTGTCCCTCCCAGGGCAGGACTCGAGAGCGGGAGCCGCGACTCCGTAACGTGCCCAAACATGGGGACGGGCGGCCGCCGCGCCCCTCTTTCTGCTGCGTTTCTCGCGACCCTGGGCTTGGCCACGGTTTCGGTCCTCTCCCTCCCCCTCCTTTAATGTCTTCTTTTTCTTGTCCTCCAAATTAGAGCTGTCCTTTCGTCCTTTTTATTTCCCTTCCTTTCTATTTCCTTCTTTCCGTCCATCTTTTCTGCTTTTTATCTCCTCTCTCTCTTTTTCAATTGCGTTACTGTCATACCTGGTGTCCCTGGAGTCGTTGGGAGGGGAGTCAGCGCCCGCGGGGCTGAGGGACACCGCGCTCTCAGGGCCCCGCGGGAGCTCTGCGGACCAGGCGTCGCGCTCAGCGCGGGACCCACTGGGCCACCCTTCCCTCCGCGTCTATTTTCCTCCCCACCTTGCAGCGTCCCATTTTTAGGAAACCACTGTCTATCAGTCTATCCATCCGTCATCTGTGTGTGAGGACAAGAAGGAGAAAACAGGGAATCCAAGCAAAGTTTTCCAAGCTCCCTGAAGCAGTAAATCTTTTCCCCGAACTCTGCTTTGATTGATGCGTTGGGCTTTGTGGGAATTTCAGCTCCCACAAGCTGCTTGTTAAAGGGCCTTCTCTCCGCGCCTATTAAATATAGTAAAGGACAAGAGCCTAACCTTCCTGTTCCCATAGGGCCCGGCATAGCCACCCTCCCCCAGGGCTGTCCCAGCAAACAGGGCAGCAAAGAGGCTGCATGGGAGGGACGCGGGGACTGGAATCTGCACCAAGGTCGTTCTCTGCTACCAGCTCATATGCCGGCTGCCCGCCCTGGGTGCCCCTTCCGAGTCCTTCCCCCAGGGCGGAGAGGAGAGGGCAATGCCTTTCGGAGACTTGTGAGTGGAAGGGTATTGGCTGGCAGGGACACCTCTGTGCCATCCTGCAGAATTCTCTGCAGAATACAGAGAATTCTCTCTCATGCCTCCCAACCCTGTCCCCTATCCCTGACCCCAACTCAACCAGGGAAAGGGAAAGCCATCAGAGAGGCGGACAGTGGGACAAGTCATGGTGAGCGCTATGAGGGGAGGCGTGGAGAAACCGCTAAGGACACACGCTGAGGCTGAGTGCCTGCTCACGCCACAAAGAACGGCCCTGATTCTGCTCATCCCAACACCATCTGTGGACCTTCAGGCACTTAGATTGCTGTTTTGGGTACCACTCTTAGAAATATTGCCCCTTTCCTGTTGCAGAACCTTCTAAGTTCTGACTTTCTGAAGCACTAGCAGTCCTAATGCCAGAGAGGTTTCTAGTCCATTTAACTCAGCTGAGCATAGGGACAAGCCCCCTGATTTCAGAAACAGAAAGATTGAAGGCTAAATCCCATCTCTGCTACTTTCTAGCTGTGTTTCCTTAGACAAATCACTTAACCTCTCTGATCCTCATTTTCCTTATACAATGTAGTAGGCACTCTGGAAAGAGTGACGATTTTTATAATGCGTAGCCTCATGTATAAGCATCAAATGAATAAGGCCCTGCTATTTCTTTCATTTAGAGCCAGGCACTCAGGGGCCCAGTGAAAGGAGCCCCTACTCCCAGGAATGAATGGTGAGCCCCTTCCTATGCCAGCCACATGGCTGCAGAGGTGAAGACGCTAGGGCAGAGTGACAGCAAAGAAAGGAAATTTCCAGGTAACCTGCAATGTACACTTGTGCTTGTGATTTTTTTTCTTTCCTCTTCTCGAAGGTGCAGGACAGAGTTGGTGATAGACGCATCGAGGATTACCATGTCTTCTAACCCTGCCCACGGGCCTTTTTCCTTTCTCCCTCAAACCAGTCCTCCTTTCTGCTCAGAACGGGGCTGTCCCAGCACAGGTTTCGGGCTTCACAAACAGAAGGGCGGAAATGCCTACCCAAAGGAAACCGTTAGGCCCAGATAACATCACAGTCACCCAAGGTGACTTGCAGCTGTTCCCCCTGCCCACTCAGGCTTCCCTCCGCTGAGAACAGATGACCACAAAGCAAACAAGCATGGCCTCTGCCATGCGCCTTGGTCCCTGCCGTGCTCCTTGGTCCCAAGTGCGGAGCTGAATGCCGCTGCAGAGCTATCTGGGCCCCAGGCAGAGACCTTCTCCTGAGGAAGGGGGTGGAGAACTGGGAGGGAGGGGCAGAGGGGAGGAGGGATAGCCCAGAGCTGGGCTCTTGAGTAGGCGTGGGGTGTGTACACCTCTTATCTTCCCCTCTTGCCTCTACAGAAGATCCCCAGAAGCCAGAAGAGAGATAACCCGGCTGATAAGCACCCTGTTTTTGCTATGTTACTGGGGATGTGACTGGTTGCTCTGTGGGCTGCGAGGAGCTGACAACCCAAGGGGAAGGGAAAGTGGCTCTCTGAGGACTGGTTCCCTTCCCTCTCTGGGGGTCAGGCTGGCTTACAAGGACCCACTTCCTTCACTCTCCCCCTGGGTCTTCCCCTTCACAAACCCTGATAGCCTGCCCCAGCCAGGCGAGAAATAGAGATCGTCAGGGACCTGAGAACACGGAGCACCCGAGACACCGCTCAGGCCAAGGGAGGGACGTGTGTGGAGGAGCCCATATTTCCATAGGTTGCCCCGGGCACATAGTAGGCCTTCAATAAACATTTGGTGAATGAACACGTGGAGGAATGAACAAGTGAGTAAAGCCAATTAGTAGAATTTTGCCTTTAAACCAAAGGTGGCTCTGCAATGGGAGAAAGGACCCAGTGGGAAGAAAGATCATGAAAGGCCATGACAAGTTAAGTAGTAACTTAATTATCTTCCAAGCAGAGCTGCAAAGAGCTCCAATCAATCAGCTCTTCATGCTGGCCACCCTTGCTGCTGATCATCTACTTTAAAAATTAAGAGCAAGAAGCAAATATTCTTTCATTACTATAAATACTAAATATATATATGCACACACACACACACATATATATGTACTCATATACACACACATATAGGTCACTCTTAAATCCTGGGGATTTGGCAAAACAAAATGAAATGAAACACCAAAAAAAAATCCCAATTCATTCTGTCACAAGTAATTATCATTGAGAAACAAAGTTGAATATATTGAAATGAAAACACAAAAGCTGAAGTGTTTTTGTGCGTTTGAGGAACGGCAATGGAAGGTTTCCCAGAAGAAGATGAGGACAGTGAGGAGGAAGGCGGCACAGCGGCGGCGGGGCTGCATGGGGAGGGTGTTGAGTGGCAGAGAACGCAGTCAGCAGGGGTTGGGGACGTCATGAGGAGGACTTTTGACCAGGCTGGTGGGGCAGTGGCCCTGTGGAGATTAGGAGATTGGCTGCCTAGGGAAATTGAGCAAATAAGTAGGTATGTGGAGGACAATGGGAGACAGATTTCTCACTGATGGGGAAGGGATGTACAAATATGCAAAGGAGAAGGGCTAGAATGAACCCCGTGGTGTTGGATTGGAATAGGAAGTATTGGCGTGAACTCGTGGTTTTTAGTATATATGTAGAAATAGAAATTAATCTAGATCTTAATGGCACATGTGTATACAGGTATTTCCTAGTGTGAGGCACTGAGAGAATCTGGGAGCAATGACATGCTAGTGATCATAGGTGTACACGGAGCCCAGACCTTGATTTCTAAATACCACTCTCCACTAATGGAACGAAGACTCCTTGGAGACAATGGTTAATTACAGGGGGGCAGGTATAGGATGAGATAAGCCTGGAACATCTTATTGTACCAGAAAATAAGGAATTACTCAATGAGTGATGGGGAGATGGTAAAACAATACAATAGTCAGTTTGTGGGAGCTCCAGTTAGAAATATTGGGATAGAATAAGAATCAGAATAAATAATGACAGCAATGGATTATAACTCTTCAAATAAAATAGAAGTTTACGAGTCCACAATGATATGAAGAATTAAGCAAGTACAGAGAAGAGAAAGCTCTTTCTTACAGCACATGCTGTCTTAGCCCGTTTTATGCAGCTATAACAGAATAGCACAGACTGGATAATTTATAATGAACAGAAATTTATTTGACTCACAGTTCTGGAGGCTGGGAAGTCCAAGAGCACGGTGCTGGCATCTGGCAAGGGCCTTCTTGCTGCATTGTAACATGGCGGAAGGTGTCGAATGGGCAAGAGGGAACTTGAGAGAAAGAAAGAGGGGGAAGAGGACCGAATTCATTCTTTATCAGGAACCCACTCCTCTGATAACGAGCCCACTCCTGGGATAATAGCATTAACCCGTTCATGAGAGCAGAGCCCTCGTGACCTAATCACCTCTTAAAGGTCCCATTTCAAAACACTGTTGCATTGTGCTAACTCTGGTGGGTAAAAGTGGAGTGAGGAATGGGATTTTACATAATTTTAAACTAGCTCCCTACAAGCTCCTGATTAATCACAATGGGGGGAAAAGTAACTTCACAGAAGAGGAACTGAATAGACGCCATATTAATCAAGTGATCAAAGTAAACATCACCAGTAATGGCGCAACTTGACACCATATGTTACCTGATGGGTTGCAATAAGAACACACCGTCACTTCCATAATATCCTGGCCGAAAGGGCATAACCTGAATCTAATCATGAGGAAACGCTGGACAAACCGAATAGGAAGACATTCCTCAAAATGGCTGGTCTGTAATTGTCAAAATTGTCCATGTCAGGAAAGTTAAGGAAAGGCTGGGGAACAGTTCTGGTTAAAGGAGACCAGAGAGACACGACGGCTGGGTTAAATGTGTCGTTCTGAGTTGGCTCCTTTGAGTATAAAGAGTATTAAAGGAATTATTAGGATAATTGGCAAAACTGAAAGGAATCCTGGGTGAAGGGTATGTAGGAGTTCCGTGTACTAATTTTACAAA